TTTGTAAAAGAAGTGAGAAGTCATGAAGACAGAGAGCCGAGCAGAATCCTGTGATGTCTTCACTTCTTTGTTGTCTTTGTCCCACATGTTGACCCACCATTCATCCCACTTCACTGTGCGTGGACATCGTTCATACGTCCACACAGAGCATCTTAACGTCACCTCGTCTCTGTTCGTCTCTTCCAGTCACTGGTGGAGACGGAGACATTATGAGAGAAAGAAGAGGAACTTAAGTACTGAAATCATTATTAAGGGTGGTCGTGGTGCAGGGGGGAGAGCGGGTGCGCTGGGAACCGCAAGGTTGGTGTTTCGAGTCCCGGCTGCCCCACGTCTCAAGTCGAAGTGTCCCTGAGCAAGACACCTAACCCCTAATTGCTCCCCGGGCAAAATGTAAAAGCCATGGGTTTAAAGTGTAAGGCCCCAGGTCAGTCCTTTGACCCCCCCTAGTGCCCGTCTGTCGTCTCCACCAGCGAACTCGAGAACAATGGTTCCTACAGGTATTTATAACAATGCTTAAAGGTGTGAAAGTCAGTGTCCACACCTCTGGGAGTGGTCTTCTGGTGAGTTCAATGTAACTCGGATTCCGAATGATCCTTAGTCAATATCAGTTGTGGTGCAAGTATTACATGCATGCATTCCAGTTGATTGCATTGCATCAAATACAATCATAACTGTACATTGATATCATGCTATTACAGTTGCAGATTTACAGTGGTTTTACAATATTGTCATTACTTTATTGATTACACAGTTTCACAATCATGGCTGTATTCTGGTGTCACTATATGCATCCTATTAATTTTCTGAACCGGGTCGTCAATTTATTTCTAATATCCTACAATATTAATCTAAATGTTTATAAACATTATGATGTAAATACTCACTGGAAACCACAGACAGATAAACCTCAGCATCTTCATATTGTCCTCCTGGTCTGACCTGTTTGCAGACATAAAGGCCAACATCTCCACGTGTGACCTTCTTCATAACCAGACAACAGTTCTGTGAAACACTCAGTCTGTCTGATTCAGCTTTGACTTTTTCAATCTGCCCGTTTCTAACCAGAGCTACTGCTGGTGTGCTTCTTAAATAAGTGAAGTACCACTCAGTAGAGTCACAGTTGTTCTGGTCCTCAGTCACACTGTTACAAGGCAAAGTGACTTCATCTCCATCTCTGACAGTGACATGTTGTCTTGTTGCTGCTTCTAAGAAGATGAGAGAGAAGTAAAAGGAACAAGGAGAAATAAAACATGACTTTTAGTGTCAGTGTGAAGATCATTTTAGACACAACAACAGTTTACAAATGTGCCTCGTTGTTGGTTTCTAAGAGTTCATTAAACTCACGATTCACCTGGATGGAAACAAACAGACGACTTGTGTGTCGTCTTTAAATGAAGCTTTGCTCATAAATAACATGAATATATTAGTAAATGATCTTTCTAGTGTTTCTGTAGTCATACACACATTCTATGTGTTCTTACCTGTAAACTGAAGCATCAGAATCAAGAACAAAGAGGTTTGAATCCCTCTGAATTCAGCCATGGTTCCTCTCCGTCTCTCGTCTCTCTGCTTCTTCCGTCTTAAAGACAAAGGATGAATCTACTTCCTCTTGTTGATAAAGAGTCACTTCCTCGTCCCTCTCGTCTCTCATACGTCACTTGTTGCTTCTTTTATGCCCTTAAGGCGGACATGAGCAGGTGTGAAGTTCACACTGACATCAAGCATCTGGATTTAGCACCAGAGACAATTTCACTAGCAAGGTCCACGCGCACCAACTGAACTGTTTAACAGTTTTATTTGCGAGATGTGAGCGATAGGATTTGTAAGTTGATACGTGTGGCGGTCGGATGGGTTGTGGGGATCCGCCGTGGCACCCGGGCACGGGCAACCCCCAAAAAATGTGTGAGGTGTGATGAGCGGCTTGAAGATCTTTGAGATCCGAGCGGATGTACCAGTGGTATACTTTGAGGGACTGAGGGCGAGTGGAATGTGGAATGGGTCTCGAATGGACTCGGGGACGAGCGGCATCCTGGGGATTCTAGTACCAACTCTTGGCCACGTGTAGCGCAACTGGGAGGTGTGAAAGCTTGGCATCCTGGTGCCGAGGGATACGCCGAGTCGTTGGGGTGGCTGGGTGAGAACAGTGGGGGGTGCCGGCATCCCGGTACCGTGTGCACCGGCTAGAGCAAGCTGCTGTGGTAGTAGGAATTGCCTACCTGGCACCGGCCCTGGAATCCCAGTGGCAGGTGCTCCTGCTACGGCCAGCTGGAAAGTTTTCTCTTTTCTACGATGTTACGTTACTATGTAACATCGTCGTGGCGCAGGGGCTAGAGAGGGTGTGCTGGGAAGCACAAGGTTGGTCGTTCGAGTCCTGACTGCCTCATGTTCCATGTCGAAAGTGTCCCTGAGCAAGACACCTAACCTCTAATTGCTCCCTGGGCAAAAATGTAAAAAAGCCATGGGTTAAAAATGTAATGTAGGTCGCTTTGGATAAAAGCGTCTGCTAAATGACCTGTAATGTAATTGTAGCTGTGATCCCGTCTTAAAGACAAATGATGATTCTACTTCCTCTTGTTGATAAAGAGTCACTTCCTCGTCCTTCTTGTCTCTCATTCGTCACTAAATGCTTAATTAAGTCAGTAATTTCCCATGATGCATTTGTGACGCCGACATTATATTAGTAAATTGTTTCTGCATTCAATGATCTGATGCAGCAACAAACAAACTGCATAAAAACTCTGGATGTATCCGCTGTACTTCAGAGGGAGTCACCTCCTCCGCTCTTCCTCACGGGCTTCCTCATTTGAGCCGGATGATCTGCAACACTCGACCACAATATGAGGACACTTCACTTTTTTGGGGCCGGCTTGTTTGGAAAGAGCCGTTAGATGTTGACGGACTGGCAAATCCCCTCCGGCTCCGTGGCTGTCTCAACCGCAGCGTGCCATGAGAGCCACCATGCGAGCGTCGGAAAGGAGATGGCGTAAATATAAACGACCTGACGACCTGCTTAAATTTCAATCTCTCCTCTCCTCGTTTTCTGCTTCTATCTCTGCTGCCAAAAGCTCTTTCTACCAATCCAAAATTGAATCTTCATTTTCTAACCCCAAAAAACCTCTTCTCGATCTTCTCCAATCTCCTCAAACCCCCTACCCCTCCTACCCCTCCACCCTTCTTCCGGGAGACTTGTCAACTACTTCACCAAGAAAATAGCCGACATACGCTCCTCCTTCTCAAACCCACTTCCTACTTCTCGCGTCCCACCGACCTCACCTCTTTCGCCTCACTTTCCTCTTTCACCGCCCTCTCTCCTAACCAAATTCTTACCCTAGTAACCTCTGCCCGTCCGACCACCTGCCCTCTTGACCCCATTCCATCACATCTTTTAGAATCTATCGCACCTGACCTTCTTCCGTTCCTCACCTGTCTCATCAACAACGCTCTGTTATCTGGCTGTTTTCCCAATTCTCTGAAGGAGGCAAGAGTCAACCCCGTCCTGAAGAAACCCACCCTCAACCCTTCTGAAGAAAACAACTACAGACCGGTCTCTCTTCTTCCCTTTTTGTCCAAAACCCTTGAACGTGCTATCTTTAATCAACTCTCCTCTTATCTCCACTGTAACAACCTCCTTGACCCCCACCAGTCAGGTTTCAAGGCAGGCCACTCCACAGAGACTGCTCTCCTTGCTGTCTCAGAGCAACTCCACACTGCTAGAGCCGCCTCTCTCTCCTCTGTCCTCATCCTTCTGGACCTCTCTGCTGCATTTGACACGGTCAACCACCTGATCCTTATTTCCTCCCTTCAGGAACTTGGTGTCTCAGGCTCTGCTCTCTCCCTTCTCTCGTCCTACCTCGACGGCCGCACCTACCGGGTAACCTGGCGAGGATCTGTGTCGGAACCTTGTTCTCTTACTACTGGAGTTCCTCAGGGGTTCCGTGCTGGGTCCCCTCCCTGTTCTCGCTTTAAACCAACTCTCTTGGGCCCTGTCATTCGCTCGCATGGCTTCTCCTACCACAGCTATGCCGATGACACCCAACTAATACTCTCCTTCCCTCACTCGGACACGCAGGTGGCGGCTCGGATCTCTGCCTGTCTAACTGACATCTCTCAGTGGATGTCCGCCCACCATCTGAAAATCAACCCCGACAAGACTGAACTACTTCTCTTTCCCGGAAAAGATCCACTTACCCAGGACCTGACAGTCAACTTTGGAAACTCTGTACTAACGCCCACTTTGACCGCTAAGAACCTCGGCGTCACACTCGACAGCCAACTCTCCGACTCCCAACATCACCGCGACAACGCGATCCTGTAGATACACGCTCTACAACATCGGGAGAATACGTCCCTCACTCAGAGGCTCTTGTCATCGCCCGCCTGGACTACTGCAACTCCCTCCTGGCTGGTCTCCCTGCCACCGCCATTCGACCTCTACAGCTCATCCAGAATGCAGCAGCTCGACTGGTCTTCAACCTTCCGAAATTCTCCCACACTACTCCGCTCTCTTCACTGGTACCGGTTGCTGCCCGCATCCAGTTGAAAACATTGGTGCTCATGTACCATGCTG